GAAGAGACGCCTCAGGGCTAGGCTGTGACACTGTCTCCAAGACACTGCAGGATTTGGGGGAAGTGAGCTTTCAATGCTAGGCACTGACTAGCAGCAGGATAAATTGGGATCCAGAGTACAAGAACGGGAGCTATTTAAGACAGTAATACCACAGAGCCTAGCTCTACCCACCTCCATCCATCATCCATACAGCCATCTCAGTAAAGCTGGGCATAAACTGATTCACACCAGTACAAAGATCCAAACCCTTGTCTAGACTAGGTCATACTCAGATACAGAGTAGCCATCCATTCCAGTAGCCAAAAGTTGTTGTTATACCAACACCTCTGCTAAGCTACCAGCCACCCCAAGCCACATGCGAGCTCAGATTACATACCTACCTCCTTTCTGAGAAAACGCAGGAATTTCAAAGTCTAGCTCTGGGATTCTAGCCGTGGCACAATCTGTCTTCACCACTTCCCTATTCATATCCTGGACAGAACAATTTATAGGAAAGATTAAAAATAAAGCTACAAGAGGCCAGGAACCCTACACACGCTGAGCAAATAAGAATGAATTCAACCCTGAGAAGCACATGAGAGGATGCTTACAACTGTGTTCCCAAATAGAAGATCATTCACACACACACAGTGAAACCAGTGTTTCCATTCACTGTCTCCCTGGGCTGCTTCTCCCACCTATTATTTTCCCATACACCTAAGTTCATAAGTAGAAAGTTACACTTGGATGGTTGCCACCCCCCATCTGCTCTGCCCACCTTGTAAGTGCAGATACATCAAAGCATCAATGAACCCGACAAAAACAACAAACAACAACCTTTTCTGATCATAGCTGCCACGCATCAGGGCAAACACTGATCCACTGACTGGCTCTCCCTTCCTCAAATGCTCACAATGTCTCCACAAAATAGCCTGTTTTAGCATGTTGTGTGGACATCTTACACCAAAGTACTTCCCAGAGAGTCAGCATCCCATTAATGAGCAGCTGATAGTGTCTCATTAAATATTAGTTACTTTACAATAGTCAGAGAAGCAGATTTGCTGCTGTATTGTACTCTGAGGGCAGCTGTGACTTATACGCAAGTATTCACAGTCCTAGGGTCTTGGCTGGAGCCTGCTTACCTAAATTCCACCCCTTTCAACCCACGCTATACTTTCAGTCAGGATGCACAGGCACCAAACATGCTCTTCAGAGATGCAGACAGCCCAGGATCAGCCACTACATTTCAACAGGCATCAGAAGTGTAACCTGTGCTTATTCAGTGGGGCACTCCTTCCCCATTCAGTGACTGGGCAATAGGTAGGTTCATGAGCCTGCTACAACATTGACTAGAAGAATTGGGTCTACTAGGTCAGGCAGTAGGTACTCAGGCTTTTATAGCACGAGGCCCCAGATTCAGTCTGCACGATCAACAATATATTCAGGGGCTTCCTATTATCTCACAAGTGCTGAACGCTTAAAGTCAGGCCATTTGTATCCCCCAAGCTGAGGCTTTTGATAGCTTGGCTGTTTTTCCACAAGTATGTTTTTATTGATCCAGACAAGGCCAGTGGCGACTAGGATACCTCAGAATTGCCAGGACATCTTCCACCCGATGCTAAGACGCTACCTGCCATCAGGTCTGGACCTGGACCTGCCCCCAGCTCCCTCCCAGAGCAGCCGAAGCGAAGGGGCCCTGGCTCACCTGCCGCGCAGTAGCCGCGAGGGTGTAGCGCACCCCCTGCTCCTGGATCCGCCCCACCGACTGGATCTCGGTGTTGGACCACGCGCAGCTGCCGCAGGTAAAGGAGCTGACGATGATCTCTTTGAAGAAGGGGATCTTGGTGAGCAGCAGCCGAGTCACCCCCTGGAAGAGCAAAGCCAAGGGAACATGGAGCAGCTTCCCCCCCCCCGCGCCCGGCCGACGGGGGCGAGCGTCGCCCCCCGCCGCCGCCGCCGCCGCGGCGCGCGCGCGCCGCCGCCGC